TAACAATCAAAATATCAATTCTCAAAATTCTTCAATCAAACCATTAATTTTTTCGGCTATGTAAATAGCTTTCCAAATTCAAAACACTTCAGCCGTTTGATTTCCATGCAGAGGATACTAGAAATGCGTTGAGCAACATTGGATTCAACCATATTTATTGTTCACATTCATAGGACTCTGCTGATGGATTCTAGTTATCAGCAAATCCAGAGTATTATCAGAGTAGACTTTCCACCTCATTTTTCTTCTGGGATATTCGATTTATTTTTTAATTACAATTCTACACACGGATATCGATAGAGTCACCGTAAATGAATACTTTCAATTAGATCAGTAAAGAGAGACAAAGGTGGGGAGATCCGAGCGGATGTCTCAGGTGAAAATTTGGTGAAAAAGGATAGCCATTGATGAGGATGGAGGTTCATTTGCCAGCGCAGAGACCTCTGAATTGCAGAACCCACTTCAAGATCAAACCTTTTCTTGGATTAGTCCCTCATGGAACTACTAGCACATTCTCCCGGGTAAATTTAGTTCAATGAAATATTTGTGTGTTTTGTCTTTATTGATTTTGAGAAATATAATGTTTTGGTGATAGCAATTTCATTGTAATTTGTATGAATAGGTTCAAATGTTGGGTTTATTTAATGATATAGAAAACTTGATTCGAGTAATTCTTCCTCAATTTTTTTCCGAATTTGCTTGAATTCCGAATTATGTTGTCTCAATAAAGTCTGTGATAAAATTTGTGTGCGTGGTCTTGAGTTCATCTTATATTTTAGTTTGTGTTTAATAATTTCATTGATAAAGGAGTCAGTGATGTGAATGAGATTCTTTGAACTGAGGTTTGGCAGCAGAATTTTTCTTATCTTCTTTGAACCTCTGCTTGCAGTCTTCCCACTGGCAAAACGATGGTGTCGTGGCTCAGGTTTCTTATAGAATCACTGCAAGCGCGGGTTTGTTACTCTGATTAATCAGTTATCAATAGTGTTCTGAATGATACAATACCAAATTTCTAATTATTTGAATTTTATGTGAGGTAGACTTCTCGAGAAGAAGGCGAAGGAAAATTTCCACACCAAGGTCCGAAGACCCTAAACCGAGGGGGTTTATGCCAAGAATGCAGGTCCCTACAGGCATGCAGAAAAGGGATAAAAAGAACAATGAAGAAAAGGAAAGTCCAGATGCATCACCATCCAAAGACTTTGGGGGGTCCAATAGGAAAATAGCAGCTGAATTGAAAATTACAGCCAATGATGAAGAGTTTGTCAACATTAATCAAGGGAAGGAAGCAGGTGAAGAAAGTGAAGATGAAAGTAATGGTGGTTTGAAGGAGGTTCCGTTACCTACGGAACCAGAACCATCACTTGATGATAAAATAAGCCAATCTGCCGAAAGTGGAGAAATTGACACCGTTTATGAGGATGTGATGGAATCAACAGAATCAGAAAGAATTACGGAGAAGGTCGTCGAGGAAAAAGCAACAGCAAGTGGGTATAGTGGTGTTGAAGAAGATGGTACAGTTATTGAACAAAATGAGATTCATATTATTAAAGATAACAAAGTCCAAACCATTGAGAAAGAGGAGTACAAAGAGGCAACAACTATATCTGACTCTGGAAGAAAAGCAACAGATAAAATAGATTCAGGAACGAAGGAAATGAGAACGGTTAAGAACAATGATGAGAAGAGAGTTGAAAGAATCAAAATTATCAATGATATTAGTGAAAATCATGTTCCAAAATCTGAGTCAATGGGTGAAGGACTGATTTTGCTCAAAGAGGAGAAAAAGGACGAAGATTTTTCTTTAAAACTAAAATTGAAGGAGGATGCAAATATGCGCAAGGAGGTTTTAGCCAGGCATGCCGAGGAAAATTTCAGGAAAGGAAATAAATTGTTCTATTATCCTGATGTGGTAAAACCAGATCAAGATATAGAAGTATTTCTTAACAGAAGTTTCTCCACTTTGAAAAATGAACCTGATGTCTTGATAATGGGTGCCTTCAACGACTGGAAATGGAAATCATTTACCATAAAGTTGAGCAAGAGCCATCTTAATGGGGATTGGTGGTCTTGTCATGTCCATGTTCCTAAGGAAGCATACAAGATGGATTTCGTGTTTTTTAATGGACAAGATGTCTATGAGAACAATGAGAACAAAGATTTCTGCATAAATGTGGAAGGTGGTATGGATGTGTTCGATTTTGAAAATTTCTTGCTTGAAGACAAACGCAGAGAACAGAAGGAACTTGCTCGACAAAAAGCTGAAATGGAAAGACGTCAGGAAGAACAAAGACGTATAGAAGCAGAAAAGGCTAACCAAGAAGCAGATAGAGTTCAGGCAAAAGAGGAAGTTGCAAAGAGAAGGAGAATGCTGGAAGAGTTAGTGAAAAAGGCCAAGAAATCTGTGGATAATGTCTGGTATATAGAGCCTAGAGAATTTAAAGGAGAGGACGAGGTTAAGTTATGCTACAACAGGATCTCAGGACCACTTGCTCATGCTAAGGATGTTTGGATTCATGGAGGGCATAATAATTGGAAGGATGGGTTGTCCATCATTTCAAAACTCATCAGATCTGAGAGAAAAGATGGTGACTGGTGGTTTGCCAGTGGTGAGTGTGATTATAAATTTTCTCTTCTTTGCATTGTGCCATATTGACAGTGGTGCAAATGGTCTCAAAGAAGCAAAGTATAGTTTGAGTATATAATGATGCCTGAAAATTTTGTGCTTAGAAAAATCTCCCACTCATCTTTATTGATCAATTCTTAACTACTGGGAAGAAAAATTCATTCAACTGTAGCTGTTCCTGATGCTAACTATCATCATGGTTTGCTTCGTATTGTTTGATTTTATGACTGATCATCCCACTTATAGAAGCTATACCAGACCCCTTTATTTTTTCAATGCTAAAACTGCTTCGAATCCCTAGAAATGGAAGTCCCTTTGAGTTTAAAAGGGCCACTGTGAGGGTGTAAACCCAATGCCTTGTAAAAATGGGATATAATGTAGGGTATTGAATGCAACTGTCCAGAAAGCAAATATTCATTCTGGGTTTTCTCATGAGCCAGACAAGTTTTTATTTTTCAGGAAATTGGAGATTTCAACAGCAATAGCTTAAGTTTCTTCATTGAATTTCAGTTACAAAATTTAAAGGAAAAAATTATAGGAAAATATTACTGCACTAAAATTTAACTGTTTCGCTAAATTGAACTAGCATGGTAAAGTAATGGTCTTGCTACATATTTTCTATTCATATCCATTGAATTTCGATGAGCTTTATTTGTTTCCTACTTTTCTTTAACCCCTCTCTTGCAAAGTGCCTATAAACATCCATCTGAGCAACTCATTTGGTTTCTCCAGTTGTTGTCCCTGATGGAGCTCTTGTTTTGGACTGGGTTTTTGCTGACGGTCCTCCTCAACAGGCTATTATTTATGACAATAATCATCTCCAAGATTTCCACGCCATTGTCCCAAAATCGATTCCAACAGAATTGTATTGGGTTGAGGAAGAACAAAAGATATACAGAAAACTTCAGGTGGAGAGGCGTTTGAGAGAGGAAGCAGCACGAGCAAAGGTTTGTTGTTCTAATATCAAATCCAAATCTAAATGAAATCACTTCAGGGCTCATAAATTTGTGGTGTTATTGTTGTCTCAAACTCATGCTATGCTGCTCTTCACATCCCTAGTTTATGTGCCCTTATCTTCTTTTCTCTCTTGATATTCCATCTACAGGCTGAGAAAACAGCACGTATGAAAAGGGAAACAAAGGAAAGGACTTTGAGGACATTTTTGTTGTCTCAAAAGCATATAGTCTATACTGATCCCCTTGATGTCCAAGCTGGAAAGACTGTCATAGTTTTCTATAATCCTGCAAACACTGTCCTAAATGGAAAACCTGAAATCTGGTTGAGATGTTCGTTCAATCGCTGGACACACCGCATGGGTCTTTTGCCACCTCAGAAGATGTTGCCTGCTGAAAATGGCTCTCATCTTAAAGCAACAGGTAAGACTCAATTGTTTAATAATGTGCCAAATAATTTAGTTTACATGGTTGTAATTGGAACATCCATTTTCCATGCTTAACTAGCACTGGACATGAATATTCCAAGAAACAAGAAAACTGTGAGGTCAATGTTTCACCAGATTTACCTGTTTTTATTTCTTTTGTTAGATGTACTCCTTCAACATCATTTTCTTGTTTGAATATCCTTACCTTGCATCTTGTAGCTATCTGAATAAAGTTCTGCTGCCTAGCATTCTTATAAAGGATCCATGTATACTGCTGTAAAAAACAAGCTTGGAAACTCATTGCGTTCTTAAATGCTGACCGAGTAGTGCTTCATGTGTTCAGTTGTTTTTGATGCCCTGCACACACAACATGACATGTTAATAAATCCTTGATGAGGTCTATCATTAGGAGTCTTGTGGTTATATTGTTGATATACTAAAAGTCGTATTAGCATTTGCTGCTTAACAGAGATTCTCTTTGTGCTTCTGCACATTGGTCTCACTTCCCTTATGTTTTCAGTCAAGGTTCCGTTGGATGCATACATGATGGACTTTGTATTCTCTGAGAAAGAAGATGGTGGAATTTTTGACAACAAAAATGGGATGGATTACCATGTACCTGTCTTTGGAGGAGTAGTGAAGGAGCCCCCTATGCACATTGTACATATTTCAGTTGAAATGGCACCTATTGCGAAGGTAATATATGGACGTCCGATAGGTATTCCATACTGCTCATCTGTACTATGACCTGTGTTCTAAAGTTCTTACTCGCTGAAGTGTACAAATACGAGAGAGAGTGATAATGGGTGTAGTACACCCAGTTCAATGATCGAAGACTGACATCCTGAAAATATACTAGACAGCGATTCTATCAGTACTTCAACCCTCTTGATTTTTGTTTGGTGCAAATAACCTGAGAACTACGTAAAGATTATATCTAATGTATGGGTAACTCTTCATTTACAGTACTCAACCCATCCCATTGTTTTTACCACACTTTCCAGTCTGGGGTGTCCCATAAATTTTAGACTTCCAAATATCAAGCCAACAATATCATTTTCTCATTTCAACCACACAAAGGACCATTCGAAATGAAAACAATCATTAGTTTGTCACATGATCTGAATTTTGAGTTCAACATATCGCTGATGAGGGAAAGTACAACACAAACGTCATTGTGCTAATTAGGGTTGGATTTTACTTTTCACTTGTATATATGTAGGAAGAAATCCACTTGTTAACTGAGATTAAATTAGCGAGCCGTTCTATGATTTCCCCTCTAGGCAAAAATGGAATGCCCCATACCCCCCAACTTCATAAGCCATAGAATCTAATTTGCAAGAGATATGGTAAGAGGCTGACAATGTGTCTAGTTTACAAAATTTTTGTATTATCTTGTTGTCTACCAACATAATATTTTAAAAATAAAACTATAAGTCACGTACTATGGCTGGATGTCATGATTATAACTGATACTGTTATGATCTCTTGCAGGTGGGGGGTCTTGGTGATGTTGTCACTAGTCTTTCACGTGCTGTTCAGGATATGAACCATCATGTGGACATCATTCTTCCAAAATACGATTGTTTGAAGCTTAACAATGTAAGATTCAGTATGTTTCCTTTAGCTAAGTCCTCTTCCTTTAACTTCTTTCTTGATTCTCACTCCTTTCTTCTTTCTTTCTCTCCCTTTCCGCTCAAGTATCATTCTTGTTCGTTGCGTTCTATCTGAATTTGGTATCATAATTAGGTTTTGTTGAAATTGGTTAAGTATAAAAATGGGAAAAGTGACTATCGTGTTAACTTCGGCCAAATATTCGGACTTAATCTGATAGTCAAAATACAAATGTAAAAAAAAAGACTAACTTGTTCTATTCGTTGAGTTGATCATTGTGGTATATTTGTAAGTTCAAAATCAATTCCGGGTGAATGAGAAATTGTGGTCCGAAGTTGGAAGAAAAATAGAGGAAAATTGGTTCGGATTTTTGCCTAGCTTACCTATCGCTTGTGCGACACGCAAACAAAAAAGGTTTTGTTAAAATTTAGACATTGGCATTCCAGCGAGAGGTCAACGACAGGATAGCGATAGCAAGTGATGCTTTTGTTCATAAAGTTGCGAGGTTTGGTACACAACATTTCACCTACAACTCCTCATCCTCTATAAATAGGATCCTTGAGACATCAATTCTTCATCTTAATGATATGCCATCATAACATTACATTACTTTCTTCTTTTTCTTCCAAAATTCTACATATACTTTACATAGATTCTAGTTTTCTTTTGTTTATTTAACAAAGAGTACAAAATCCAATTTTGGTTCGTTGATTTTGTGTTTTGGAGTGCTATTGACACAAGAGGATAATCGTCGTATCTTGGGAGTTGATTGCCATCATCCGTAGGCACTGTTGCGGGGGCAAAATCGACTCAAAGACAAATAATTCAACTCCTGCCTCGACTTTGCATCCATTTCATTTGGAGTTATTTTTGTAAAATACTTTTACCTTGTTTCCTTGACGTTATTTTGTCCAAACTTTGGTAAAGTTGGTAAGTTTGGTTTTGGTTTTTAAAGTCATGAATTGATTATTTTTCCAATAATCTTAAGTCGATTTTTAGAGTGATTACTTTATTCTATTCGGTTAAACTGATTTCACTTTGGTTTAACATCTTCTACCCATTCTCCGATTTGATTTGTGGTTTATTTTCTGTTTTGTGTAAACAGAAATGAATACGGTTTTTAATGCCAACTCTACTTCGAATGATACTTCGAATATGGGAACTTTAGAAGGAATTTTTCCCTTCGATGCGATCCCTCTGGTTGCAGTTGCCACTCCCACCATTCATAGGAACTTCGTTCCACATGGAGAAAAATTGAAGAAATTTATTGGGGTTGATTTTAAAAGATGGCAACAACAAATGTTGTTTTATCTCACACT